ATTATTTGGCACGAGCGTCGAAAAACAACGCAAGTGACCTGCAGCTCAAGTCGAAATTTGGAGTTCTACGCCAAATTTGACGTGTAATAGCGCGTCACGTCGGAAATACCGTGGATCTTAGCCTCTCTATTATAGCTAATGCCTACTTTCGACGTGAGTGGTAGCTCTCTCGCGTTGTTTTCTAACGCGCGAGCCAAATATCGCGATGGAACTTTCGCGTCACGTCGAAAATAGCGTGCAGCTCAACCTCTCTAGCGTGCCGAGTGCCTCAGCTTGCACTCACCATGCTGTCATTCCTTTACTTCTCCTGTCTCCTAGTAACGGAGCTGTGAGCTTCAGCTGCGATTGAGAGAGGGATAGCGTCGGTGACCATTCTGAGAGCAATGTGTAAACGACACCGAAAATCGCAAAGAAACAAAATAATAACGGAGATGCCTGGCGGGCCACGTAAACGCTACAGCAGATCCATCACACTCTACAATAATTCCCATCAGCTTTCCTGGCAAACTGTATAAACAGCTAGTGTTCGCAAGATGAGACACTTCCACGGCTTACCCGAGAGAGAGAGAGCGAGACCAAGTCTTTGCGTTCATCACTGAAGTAAAGACGAAAAGAGTTTCCTATCATCCATGCCATGTTCCGAAGAACCTGCATGCACCGTTCTTGTACTGGCATGGTAGCTAACAACGTTACTAGCTGCACTGCCATTCCGTTGGCAGGTTACTTCCGGATCGATCGCGGAGTGATGCATTTGTAGCTAGCTCCTCACACTATACTAAGTCACAGTGTTTTGGTCGTAGATCTACAAAAAAATTATTAATTTTATTGTCCACATACATGTACGTATGGCACACTCCTTCCCATTCTAAGTAGTTAGTTCTAGTCACACATGACATTGTCATTGTGTGGTTTCAGGTGCAGCGACTTGCGCGTAGTTCTACCACTACCAGGGAGTCGTATACGACTCCCTGGTTCTACCTGACTCCTGAGGGAGCATGCATGGAAAGTAAGTATGTTTTGCCTTTGCCTTTGGTATGCAGATCAGGGACTCCCAGTCCCTGATACTGGTAAGTGATCATGGTGATATAAGTAGAGTGTAGTCAAGACTCTACTGATATGAGAGACTCTACTGAGTAGATCTACTGACACATGACTGTCACCTGGTCACCGGGGCCGGCGCCCTCAGCGCGTACAGAACGCTGCGTGCAGTGCACATAGTCATTTTGATCCGATGCGACCATACCAGCGCGCATATTGGATGTGTCACTGTGTACATGGTGTACCATGGTACTACCGTAGTACCGGTAATACCGCTTATCCACGCGTGCACGGCTGCATAGCCAGCGGCCCAGCGCTCTGGGGCCGCTAGACGTGCGACCGGATTTCCATGTCCACGACGTCAGTAGATGATGTAACATATTAAATAATATTATGTTATTATTTTTATTATGTCAATATAATAATATTGTTTAGTCACGTGTTACTTTAGATCGGTACACGTAGATCTACACAGCAATCAGCATACAGCCATACACGATCAAACCGGGGTAGCTACGTTCTATTTTGAGTTTTGGGAGTTCGAGCGGTCGGTACTGGAAATGCGCAGTGTCCGTCACGGCGGAATGCCTCAGGAAGAGGCGATCATCCGATCGAACAGTAGTTTCGCCTCCCCTGAAACTGCCCTCAATCCCTCGGACCCGTCTGAAGGTGATGACGCTGCCATGGAAGGGGCTGAGAAGAATGATATGGATCGTGAGTTGTTTGAGGTTGTGACGGAAGACGCACTCAATTTTACGGAAGCAGAGACGCTTGATAAGCCTGCGGCGTGCCCATCATTGCTGATGAGCTGGCGCGCGAGGCACAATCTGTGGCTTGTAGGTAGAGATGTCCCTGAGATGGACTGCGCAGTCGAGCTGCTCGATGATGACGACGAGCCCAGGCGCATAGATCTACGCGGTGGCAGGAGAGGAGCAGAAGCTTGCGTAGTTCATCACAGAGCTCAGTGCTGAGTTCAGATTGGTGGGCCACTTGATGGAGCGCCACGTGGAGCGCTCGGAGCGCCTGCACTGAGGCTGCAGGTGTTGGAGGCTATGGGCATGGACTGGTGGTCGATGAGCAGCCAACGACGTCACGTGGCGATCCCCATGGCCAAGTGAATGTGACAAGGCTGATGACGGCGTGGCTAGAACTGAATTTCAGCATCAGGGGAAGCCAGGCTTGCACATGTCACTACAAAGTATTATGTGCCTACTCGAAGTATGAGTATTTGGATCCAACTACAAAGTTAGTGCTCGGATTATTATTTTTACTAGGTCAATCCCAAAATCGTGGGAGTCCCATTGATTTTATGTACACTGTACCATATTTCCCCGGGCCAATTGTAAGTCACACTATTCCCGGTCTATGTCATATCGTTTCGATATAATTATGCACTTCAGTAGTGATCATGCTCGATTGTAAGTCACACCCCCTGTTGTTGGCCCTGAAGTTGAGTGTAAAAAGGTGTAAGACTTATATTCGGGGAAATACGGTACATGCTAGTATGCGCCAACACTTGAAAATCTTTTGACCTGTGAAATACGAAATGCGGACACGCTGGCGTGCCCACAGTATTGTGTTGCACTGATCTGACAAATGACAAAATCTAGACAGACATATTGACTGGGATTGGTAATGCACTCTGTACCATTGCGTTATGCAGAGCTCACTGACTTGTCAGTTTGAACAATCTGGCAAGGTACGTTCGGGTCTGGTTTAAATCTAGATTTGGAAAACATATTTTTCAGTGCTATCAGGTTCGGCCTTATTTTCTTTGTGCTGCGCTAATGAGTCCACAAAGGACGAAAGAGTTCTGTTCGCAGCTTGAGTATCATACAAATGAGAGTCCTCCATATTATGGTATTATTATAGTTTTCGTGGAGACAGAAGTTAGCACTGACACTTCTCACTTCACTTCACGACCTTTTGAATATTTATATTGTGTTACTGGTTGAATTATCTTTGCCATTAAATTCCTTCTGAAGAGATGGCAACGAAAACATTCAAGGAAACGTAACCTGTGCAAATGGTGTGGGTATTGAATACGCAATTTGCTTTACTTATTGCGTTGATATAATTATGGGATTGCGGGATTACGTACAGTAAGTGGACAGCCCAGCCCAGTCTTTACTGTTACTTGATCCACAGCATCAAACTCAAGAACTCGCTGCAAAAGCCGTGAGTGCTGTGACTGTTGGCTGGCATTATGGATCGCCGTATGTTAACATGAGGCAGACGTTAAAGAATCAGCTTGTTCTACTAGGTCACTCTTGTGGGGTGTATGTAGCAGGTTCCAGCGTATTTATAGCGGCGTGAGTGATGCTCAAGAAGACGGAACACTGCACCCGGCAAGTGATATGATAACAGTCAAAGGGACGTGAAATACTTGCCTCTGTTGTAATTCGTTTGAGTGTAAAATGCGGAATATCGGGCAAAAGTCCGAAAGTTGGATACGTTGGTATTAACTTTAGGCAGCCTTTGGCAAGTTGATTATAGCAATGTTTCTCTTTCCTGTTTTGTAATCTCTTTACCCAGCAATTCTTGGAGAGTGGTCACTGTCATTTTCGGAGGGGTACCCAGCAATGTGTGAAACCGTTGACTTTTGACAACGTGAGCAATGCTGTCACTTGGAAACGACCACTGTATATGCGGATCCAGCTGCAACGCAAGACGGATTGATTTGATATTCAGTTTGCTGGTGGGGCGCCGGTGCCCGAATGTATTGACTTGTATAATTCGTCTGTGCTCAAATTGGTTTGAGTGTAAAGTCCGGAATCATGGGACAAGGCCCTAAATTTGGAGATAGGCTATTTTTTAGCAGTTTAGGCAGCCCAGGACAACTTTAGGCAGCCCAGGACAAGTTGTTTCTAGCAATAATTATGTCTCTTTTCTTTTGTTGAATACCGGTACCTTTTGCCCTGCTATTCTTGGAATAAAGAATAGTTACTGTCTTCCTGGGAGGCTTAAACAGCCAGGAATGCATGAAGACCTCGATTTTTGATGACTTGAGCTCTGCTGTCATTTGACAACGCACCTCTGTATTTCTGGACCTAGCTCCAAAGAGATTGGGTGGATTGATTTAATTTTGGTTTGCTTGTAGGACGATTGACCTAGAAAGAAAAGTTGGTTCAACTCATTTATCTGCCTGTAGCCGCTTCTAAGATGAATCTGCCTCTAGCTGTCTCTAAGGTGTCTCTCTTGCTGCATCTAGCTGCCTCAAGTTGGCTTTAGCAGCCTTGAGCTGCCTGAAGCTTCCTCTAATATGCCAGTGTACACATGTAGCAGAGCTACATTTAATGACTTTCATTTTCACACAAACACAACTTGTGGTGTGCACAGGTAGTCCCGTCTACCCGTGAGGACCTCGGGTAGACGGGTACAGAATAGTACCCGCAAACCCGAAGTCCCAGACGACATCATCTACAGTGCACGTGTACAAATGAATACTCCGCATGTCTACCCAGTGTGTAAGAGAAGGCGTGCATTGTGGTGTTACCATGGAAACATTACCCGATCGGGTACCTGTGCTACCTGTGGGAAACTACCCGAACCCGATACCCGAAGAAAAAGGTACCCGACTCGGCCCTAAACGCAACCACCAACCAACCATATTTAGTGATTGAAATTACAAGTACACGATTGTACTAATACAATCAGTGACTCTAGCTACACACTTACAATCACATAGGACTTGAACGTGTTTTAATTAATAGAAGTGTGTTTGATCTCGTCATACCATCCTGACTGAAGTAGAAATCTTGGAATAGCACCCTACACAGTACACACTGACATGACAGTCGTAGAAATACACACATAGTTGCGGTACCAAAGCAGCACTACACTCAACTACTACAGTGCTGGAAACTGAAATCCGACGACTCCCTTGGCGGCGCACCGCGCCACCAAAGGAGTCGGATTTCAGTTGCCAGAACGGTAGTACCACACACATGTGCCAATGCTAATCATGGAACACTCCAAACACCTCATCCACAAACGTACAACACAGTCATAACTAAATGAGTTATCACTGCTGAAGTTGAATAGAAAAATAATTGGGCCAACCCAAATATGACTGGAAACTGTTGCAAATAGCACTTGTGAAGATTCACATTGTTTGTACTGAAGTGTCTGCGAGTGTGCGTGCCTGCATGCCTGCGTGCGTATAACGTGTGTAAGGTATGTGTGCATACGTGCATATGTATGTATGTGTGTGTGGTATGTGTACAAGTATCATGACCGTAGGTATCAAAGTAATACTTACAGAAAATGCTCGGACCTACTGTACACTGCATTATTCAAGAATGACAACATGCAGTACAGAAGCACCTTGGACCAAAATCAGCTGGGCTCCTTGTGCTCCAGCCGCTGCAGCAGCAGCAGCAGAAGCAGCAGCAGCAGCAGTATATCAAGTTCTTGCTGTCACATAGCGCTGATCCGATCAGTAAGAAGAATGTCATACTTAAGAAGGCAATGAAATAAAACTACCAGCAACAGTACCAGTAGTAGTGAGAACAGCAGTGAGAGAAATGATGAGAGTAATTTAGTGTTCTCTTGATTGCCGAATTTCGGTTGTCTTTTTTGTGTTGGCTCTTACTTTACGGGATCCACAGGATTGGCTTTGTGAATAAACCCGTACTCAAGTAGTGATAGCGGTAGTGAGAGCGGTAGTGATAGCGGTAGTGAGAGCAGTAGTAGGTACCCAGTGCAGTGGCAGGCACAGCAGCAGCTTCAGTAACGAGATGCCTTCTCATTATCACAAGCAGTGCCTGAAACTGGCTGTTGGAAAGGATACGTCTACACTTATTTCGGCATTGCATCTAGAATGGAGCGAACTTCCACCAGCAAAGCGCTGTATGCAAACTTGAACTGATCCTACACATGATAACACATGACACAGTCATGTGACACAGGCACACAACACGACACAGGCATATGACACAGGCACATAAAGTGAATTTAGTAAAAGTAAATTATCGCCATATGTGTGTGTGGGAAACTACCAACTGAAGTCCTGACATGTGCAGGTCATGCCCAGCTAACCACTTTTGTCAGTTGAACCCCTGCTCGCCACATTTCCTTTTGGTCACGTGTCCCGGCTGCAAGTGGGTAGTTTCACGGCCACAGATTGTTCCCTTGGTCATGACAAGAGAATGCCATGATTTGTGAGCCCATCGCTGGTGCTAGCTAGCAGAATGGTGCTCAAAACGGTAAAAGAAACCAGATTGGGTACGGGTTGAGATGTGACTCATCTATGAGCGCTGCAAAAAGACTGGATGAAAAATATTAAAAAAACTGCTGAATGCTGAGCGCTCGATCACGGCGGATGCAGACCAATGTCATGTTTAAATGGCAACCGCATTATCACCATGGCGATAAACATCACTGATTATAAAGTACAGCAGCAGCAGCAGCGGAAAAAGGGTCCTAATTCCTAATTCTACCTTAGCAGTACTAGTGAAGAGTTGGACACAAGCACAGTTCAGTGTATTTACTATGCTCACCTCAGTTTGAACCATGTGCATGCGCTGGTCTCTCAAATGTTCCACACAAGCAGCCATGTCAATCTCCTTGACAAGATCTAAAACGAGCAAGGAGAGTACGTCAGACAACAACTTGCCACAATGTCCACGGAACTTGAGCAGGGTTTGTTGAGCAGGACTTGCTGCCGCAGCTGCGACGGTAGTCTCACTAATATGACATTACACATCGTATATTACACTGTTGTGAAGATGGTCTTACTATCTTCATCGATAGCTGTTGTTTATGCTGAAATTGATTGCTGATTAGATATTGTCTTACTGCACTCAGAAAGTCATGGTCAATGCTGAGTATGCAATGCAGACGACAAAGCACTTGACATGAACCCTGACAAGACGCAGTTCTTGCTCCTTTGCCACCTACTGTAAAACGACAAACTTTCGCGGCGGCTAAATTTAGCGTTTTGGAAAACTGGACCAGTTAGCGGCGATTAATTTTAGCGATTTTTACCTTCCACCGAAAATCAAAGAATTTTATTTTACGAAACCTCGGAGTGCTGGGCGCAGAGTGCATGAAGAATGAGAGAAGAAATCAAAGAATGAAAGAAGGAATCAAGGAATGTAAGAAGGAATCAAGGCATCAAAGAGAACCATAAGGTAAGTACTAGTACTGAGAGAAATGATGGCACGTTCGAAGAGGGATCATCGGAAGACTTTCTCTTCGAACTGCTGAGCCACTGCGATACTCATCGCGATAAAATTCAGAAGACTTCTTCGAGCAGTACAACACTAAAATCTACGCAACAGCAAGCTGGCCAAACGCTCCAAGAAGTTCAACAACACTTTCCACAACACTGAGACATTCTCCAGTCGATCGTTTTATTCTCTTCTGGTTCAAGTCGCCGTACTCCAACGACAACTAATGTCTGTTACTTGCAAGCCTGGTGAGTGGTGTTGGTACGTAACCCGTCGTTGCAACAGCTGCGTCCTTTGGTTGGACATAGCCGGCCGTGCAAGCATCGATCAGCGCTGTGAATGTACAGTCAGTGCAGTGAGTGATACATGCGCGCGCACGTAGACCTACTCGTACTGTACAGATCTGTTGCAAAACAATCGATCATCGACGCATCGATCGCGTAGTACACATATTCGCGTGTCAAACTTTCGCGATTCGACCCTGCTCGCGAAAGTCGCGAAAGTTAATCGCTCGCGAAAGTTTGTCGTTTTACAGTATTCCAAACCATGCCACGTTCAGCGAGGCCCTAGTTATTTTTCAAGGTAAAAAGGTCAGCAAAAATCCCACTTTCTCTTCCATTCAATGCAAGCAGGTAAACATGGCCTCACTGAATGCGCGGTATTTAGTGCTCACGTACCAATTTGATTCAATGTATCATCACCGTCTTCAAATCTGAAGTGCCTCGCACCAGGTCCAAACAGTCACGGGTAAGATAGTTTACCCCCCCCCCCCCTCCCCCTCCTCTCCCAGTTTGCTGGATATATACTTCAACGACAATCGACCCTAATTCCAATTGCTTATATGGATCAGCTTTTGTGTCATTTCAGTGGCGAACTTTTGAGCGCCTCAGCCGCGCTCTTTCCGCTTGCGTTACCAATTTCTCCACAAATAAAGTGAACAGTTTTTTTCTCATGGTGTTACACTTGTCTCACTTTGGTATATTCAAGATTTCAAGACAATTGAAGGAGCCATCCACCAACATGACAAAGCTCAAAGACAGGTGTAAATTCCCTTAGCGTACTTCTCCTTGTGTCGTGACTGAGACTCATCAGGCAGAAACAACTTTAGCACCATCAGCCCTTGGGAGCGATTTTAAAGCTAGTTCTTTTTCGCCCAAGCCATGGAAGGGCTTCCCGGTAGCTCCTCTGAGTCAACACGAGTGTCGCACATGAAGTTGAGCGTCCTCCTAGTGCTTATTTCACTTCCACGCGTCCATTCCCATACAAACTGAATGTGACACGGGCTTCGCTTGTTCACTAGCAATTAAAAAAAATCGCACGTGATCCGAAAACGTGACCGTTGGTCCGTCCTTCACAACGCTCTATCCACTCTAGTCAAGAGTACATAACCCCCCAGAGTGTGCAACTCCCACATACCCTGCTGTCCCGACAGAATTTCAAGTTGACGTCAATATTTATGACGCAATGCTCCTTGCACCAGTGATTTACAACATGTGTACGGGTGTCAACGCATCACACGTTTTTTTTTCTTTGCAATAATTTGTACAGGATTGATCGGCTTCGGTCAACCACAGGTTCCGGATTCGTCTGATAATCCGTGTACGTACGGTGCGCATTGCATCATCAAAATGACGTCAACTTGAAATTCTGTCGGGACAGCACCCATAGTGGAATTGCACACTCTGGGGGGTTATGTACTCTTGCTCTAGTACCGTCACAGGCAGAAAATTACCTGAGGCAGTTTTCCAAAAGGTGTGGAATTTAGTGAGGGGGTGGATCAACTGTACTTCATTCTACATGTCACTTACTTTCCGACAATCTCATCAGAAGAATATCTATCAAGATGTAGCAGCCAGCTCTTCCTACACCAGCACTGCAATAAACAATACAATACAGACGGTAGTTCAGTACAAGTATAATGTACTAGAGCATAGAGACAACACAGAGACAATAACCATCGGATGGCAATGAAAAAAATTGTTGTGCTATTATGCCTATAGGAAAAGAAGACCAAGGAGCTACAAGTTATGCTACAATACAGTCGTCCCTCTCTAATCCGGCACTTGTTTATCCAGCACCCTTGCAAACCAGCACACTTTCTGGCAAAGCGGATTTTTTCAGTTCATTTTCTACGCTTTAATCCGGCACTTGAATTCCGCCTCCGGCAGCGATTTTCTGCAACAAATCACTCAAACTGTACATAATTTGATTTTCTAATCCAGCAGTTGTACATCGCATACCGTACCAGTGCCAATATCCTATGCCAATGCATAGGATTTGCATAGATATTCCCAAGTGTATGTTATAGACATGGCATGTTACAGACATGCATTCCACAAACTTGTGACAAAGTACTTGGATTGACACAGAAAATCCCTACATTTTGACGTACGACACAAACATGTACGTTACTAGGTGAGCCGGGTTGGAGGACAGGATTTGATAATCCAGCACCCTTGTTTATCCGGCAGAAAATGCCGTTGCAAAAGGTGCCGGATTAGAGAGGGACGACTGTATTCACTAACACCACCAGTCTCCACCCGAGTCTAATTATTATGGCTATGGTCGGCATTCGTTGCAACAGTATAATTATGTTTGCGATGTAGGCGACAACAAAATATTACGAGACGGTGGTAGCGACTTCAGCGATGATTTCATAGGAAAGGTGCTGCCAACACCGGAGCTGGTGCTTTTCCGCTGACTGGCTTGACACTTGACTGACTCACGACTGCCAGCCAGAGCACACGAGTGGTGCAGGCTTGCCGAGTCGAAGGTTTGATGGACTTCTCGTGTGCTCTGGATGGCTGTCGTGAGGCAGTCAAGAATCAAGCCAAGGCGGCAGGAAAAGCACGAGCTCCGGTGTCTGGAGCACCTTTCCTACAAACCGAATTTGATCCAGTGCTACATTACTAGAACCCATAACACAAACAAAGCAGAGGTATTGACCAAAGCCAACACAGCTCCTCACAAAAAAACAGAGGTATTGACCAAAGCCAACACAGCTCATCACAACCAAAACAGAGGTATTGGCCAAAGTCAACACAGCTCCTCACACACAAAACAGAGATATCGGCCGAAGTCAACACAGCTCCTCACAAACAAAACAGAGATATCGGCCGAAGCCAACACAGCTCATCACAACCAAAACAGAGGTATTGGCCAAAGCCAACACAGCTCCTCACACACAAAAACAGAGATATCGGCCAAAGTCAACACAGCTCCCCACAAACAAAACAGAGGTATTGGCCAAAGCCAACACAGCTCCCCACAAACAAAACAGAGATATCGGCCGAAGTCAACACAGCTCCTCACAAACAAAACAGAGATATCGGCCAAAGTCAACACAGCTCCTCACAAACAAAACAGAGATATCGGCCGAAGTCAACACAGCTCATCACAAACAAAACAGAGATATCGGCTGAAGTCAACACAGCTCCTCACAAACAAAACAGAGATATCGGCCGAAGCCAACACAGCTCATCACAAACAAAACAGAGGTATTGGCCAAAGCCAACACAGCTCCTCACAAACAAAACAGATATATCGGCCGAAGTCAACACAGCTCATCACAAACAAAACAGAGATATCGGCCGAAGTCAACACAGCTCCTCACAAACAAAACAGAGATACTGGCCGAAGTCAACACAGCTCATCACAAACAAAACAGAGATATCGGCCGAAGCCAACACAGCTCCTCACAAACAAAACAGAGATATCGGCCGAATCCAACACAGCTCCTCACAAACAAAACAAAGATATCGGCCGAAGTCAACACAGCTCCTCACAAATAAAACAGAGATATCGGCCGAAGCCAACACAGCTCCTCACAAACAAAACAGAGATATCGGCCAAAGTCAACACAGCTCCTCACAAATGATGTCGACTGTACTGGAACTGGTGGATGAATGTAGACATGTAGACAACGTAGTTTCTAGCCTACAATGTGTTGAATGATAGGATCAAACACAGCACGCTGAACACTGGTGTCTGCTGGCTGTATACTTACTTGTCATGGACAATGATGGGTGCACTGACATCAGAATAACTTTTCTTTACTTTCCTACAGGAGAACACATACCCATACACCCACATGCACGCGCGCATGCACAGACGTGCGCAAACATGAACGTGCGCATGCACGGACGCGCACACACACACACACACACACACACACACATACAAACACACACACACACACACACAAACGACAATGATGCAATTGGATTAAAAAATTCAGCGGTATTTAAGGGGTCGTCGCAAAAAAAATTGTCATCCCTGAACCGAACATCGCTCATTTCGTACTCTCACTCCTTCCCATCCTCCAAAATGAACATAGCTTGATATGCTGGATGACGAGAAAACTGCATGCTTTGTGTGGTATCCTGTGCAGATGTTCATGAGCATGTGCATGCTAAACACTAACAGTCGTGTTATTGCTGACTATACAGCTGCTCTTTCTTTGGATTACTGTAAGCTGCCAACATCTTGCTCTTGCCCCTAGACTAGCCATTACAACCGTAGCTAGAGAGCTGTCTCTGTTGTTGCCATTCAGCTGTTCCTCTTGCTGCTTCCATGCACCATGGCATTAGCAGCAATACTTCAATACGATACTCTTTCCTAACGTTTGCACAGCTACCTGCTTGCTCTCCGCGCTGAGTCCATCGCTAAGCTTGCTTTGATAATTATAATATACTGCTCGCTGCATTTATCTCACACTTCAGTCTTCTCTTTTCAGCACAAGCAAGCCTTGCCGTTTTCACTTCCGTTTGATTGGAGTAAGTTCTCAAGAGTTCTCTATGTACCCCCCCCCCCCCTCCCCCTATGTACCCCCCCCCCTCCCCCTACCTCCCCACAATAAACACAAACTATGCCTCTCCCCATACATACAAATTATACTTGAAATAAAAGAGTTTTGGCAGGTTACAGCATCATTTCAGAGGTGGCAGAATTAGCTCAGCAACATACCTCCTGAAGTCAAGCAATGCATGGGTTGTTGTTGCAATAGTTGGTACAGCAACATGAGTCCAGGATAGGAACTGATATTGAGTCACTGTGCGGCTCATCTTCGTCTAAACACACACCATGTATATACACGCAAACACACGCACACACATAAGCACGCATGCACGCGCGTGCGCGCGCACACACACACACACACATACACACACACACACACATACACACACACACACACACACACACACACACACACATGGCAGAACATGAGAGAAAAATTGATAAAGAAAATTTAACAGTGAAGGAAGTGAAGATATTAGGTAAAGATATTAGCAGGCCAAACAAAGAACAAAGGAAACCATTGCTACTCGGCAACGTGGGCTGGGTCCATTTTGCCAAAAAGAGGGAAATGGTAATTGATAAAATATTTTAAAAAAATTCTTCGAAGTACTTTGCTCCGTATTTCTGCATTTCAGGTAATTCTTCAGCAGGAAAACATATGCATGCATGTACCGCTGTCCATACAGGCGTGCATCTATTATCACAGCTACGTTTCTCCAATCCCATTGGTAATCCACTCAACCACTCAACCACTGACCTTACGGGATGGTGGCAAGGAAATGGGGGGGGGGGGGGGGAGTCAGAGAGGGAGGAGAGTAGGAGGACGGGGGAGGGAGGGGGGGGGGGGTAGAGGGATGAGTGGGAGTAGAGGGAGGAGTGGGGGGGGGGGGGAGAGTAGAGGGAGGAGTGGGGGGGGGGGAGAGCAGAGGGAGGAGTGGGGGGGGGGGGGGAGTAGAGGGAGGAGTGTGAGGGGGGGGGGGGGGGAGAGAGTAGAAGACGGTAGCCGCCTATCTGAAATATGCGCCACATCATTTCAGGGGTTTTAGGCGGATGTTTTTCAACTGGGTGATATTATACGGCTCGCACACTACTAAGCGCCTCAGCCAGTATTGCCGGAAGGACGGTATGTTTGTATTCTAAGCATTTGAGACACGTAGAGAGGAACCCTAGTATAGTGCAAACAGTGGTGTGTAGTGTGCATGCTATTACCGGTCTTACCTTCAAATTGACTAAATAGAAACTACGGACACAATAGTCATCTGACATGACGTGCTCAGAAACTAGTTGTACCTTTACAAGGAAAGCACATGGCAATGGCACATGTATACACATACACATACATATACACACACACATACACACACACATAAAGGAAAAAGGAAAATAAATAAGCTAGCACCATAGCGTAACATGTACCTGCCTGTCAGTTAGAGCTTTGAGTTACGCATCTAAAGTTTCTTTTTTCAAAACTAACTAAATTGGGAACGAGAGGGCTTGAAAGCCCAGGAGCCCTCGCTATGGTAAAAATAAAATAAATAAAAAAGCATAGCGAGGGTTCCTGGGCTGTCAAGCCCTCTTGTCAGTGGATCCGCAGGATCAGCGCCTCAGCGCGATTTGGCGCTCCAAGACCGGCACCATGAGCGTCTAACTCAAAATATCTGCCATTTCAACAAATTGTATCGCAAATCGCTCAATTTATTTTACCAGGAAGCTAGTTGTATGCATTGGTATACGACTAGTGTGATTTCTATAACCAACCTCGAACATATGATACACTTGCTGTCCGTGCTTGGGCCAATAACGGTGACACTGACTCTGTTAGGCACACACAGAAAACAAGCCCCCCCCCCCACACACACACATACACACACATACACACACACACACACGTGCACACAGCGTACACATGTGCATACACGCATACAATAGTCAGTCACACAGCAACGATGCAACATTGTCTCTCTTCGCTGTCACTCACTTGCTCTCTCTTTCTCATACACACACACACACACTCTGTACCTCTCTCACTCACTCACTCACTCACTCACTCACTCACTCACTCTCTCTCTCTCTCTCTCTCTCACACACACACACACACACCCACACACACACACACTCTCACTCTCACTTACTCCACCCACCATGACCGAAATTAACAGGTTTGCTTGTCGCGTTTGGGAGGAATTCCAAGATGAGTGTTGCAAGATAGACATGAAAACTCACCATGCCACCTTCCGTTAGTTTGGTGAGCATAACGATGATGGTGGAATTCATCTCCCATACCATCTATTTGTTGAAAGGGTTTGCACAAGCAGAAGAGAACACATGCACATAACACATGTTACGCACGTTAAAGTGACATCATAGCTTTGTATTATTGCCAATATTTCAACCATGTTTATTGGCATACGCCATTGGGATAACATTGTGATTGGGAACTAAGCCAAACAGGTACCGTCTAATACAGGTACAGTCTAATACAGGTACAGTCTAATACAGGTACAGTCTAATACATAACAGTCTAATACTCAATCTGCAGGCAGAACTGTTTCGTCCTTTGTGGACTCATCAGCAGCGCAGCACAGAGGAAATGAGGCCGAACCTGGTAGCAATGAAAAATAGAATTTCCGAAGCCAGATTTAAACCAGGCCCGCGTACCTTACCAGAGTGCTCAAACTGTAACAATCTAATAGAGATAATTGAAACCTCGATTAGTTCTGGAGTAACCTCTCAATAACACTTAGAATTTCAAAGTATCCAAAACTGTACATTGAACCCAATATGTATCGTATGTCAAATTGCAGCCTTGAGCACGCTGAGAGTCATTCGCGTCTTCCACGTGTATCAAACATGAGTTACAACTCTATTAACACATACAAAGTAACAATACACACTTGAATAATGTACAGGTCAACGACATACAGCATGACACAACAGCAGCTTGGGCAAACAGGCAGTACCATCGGCATAGAGACACGCTATCAAGAAGAAG